CCTGAGGAACTCAGTCTGGAAGGTGGGCCAGCCATCTCAGTGTTGGCACCACATGCTGCGACCTGTCAGTATTTCTTCTCACCTGTTTCCCAGGGTAGTACCCACAGACAGCGGCGCCGCGTACGCGCGCCCACGCATGCACGCACGCGCACGCCACTCGGGCCGGGGCCCTGCGCCCTGAATAGCAACCGCACTGATAGCAGCGCTTACTGTACGGAGGAGGCCTCATTCAGGCTTCCGGGTGGTGTTAGTGTTTGCCCCGGAACCTGGATCTCCAGTGGTGCCTTCCAATACTCTGCGAAGCACCCAGGCAGGTTCCGCCAATGAACGCTCCTCAATCCAAGAAATTGTCTCATACGGTGTATCAATCAGCGGTGGGCACTGCCCCACAAACTAGGATTCTACAATGATAGGCCAAAGCCCCGTGACCTGAATAAATACGAGTTTTCCGCGAAAATAGAAGAGTGATCTCTAGAGGGTGGCGTTCCAACAATAGTACCAAGAACCTAGAATGCAACCCCGCCACTTGTGCCACTGATACTTTCAATTCATGCAACACAGTTGAGCAGGTGCCAAGAAAGCAGCAAACAACTAGAATAGGTCAAAGATGACTTCTCACTTTTCAGGAAAACTGGACTTATCTTCAATCCTCCACATGTTGCCACGTAAAAGCTAACCCCAGGTGTGCTCAGTGTTACTTTCTCAGCAAATTTGACAGCATTTATTTAATACCATTTCTATTTCTGCCCTGCAGAACTCCATAGTTGGCAGTGTTAAATACACATCTACATTGAATCATCTATAGAAATATTAGTATTTATGAAATCAATCTACACATACTCCACATTACATTAATGGATAAATAGGTGATAATTTGAGGTCATCCTTCTCTTCCCTTCACCTGCCCTCCATTGCTCAAAAAATATTTCCCAGCTAGATGTGGTGAAACATGACTGTAATTCCAAACACTCCTACAGTCAGGGAGGCTGAAGCAGGTGGATCGGAGTTTGAAGCAAGCCCGGACTACATACTGAGGCCTTGTCTCAAAAAAAATTTTTTTTCCTTATCTCATTAATGCCTGAAATTCTTTGTACAAAGCACAAGGGTCTACAGTTTCACAATTATTTAATTCAGTTTAACTGATATCTAAGCCAAACACCATGCTAAACACTGAAGACCTAGAGAGAATCTCTTCACTCAAGAAATTAACATTCTATTTTTTTGGTTTTTGTTGTTGTTTTTGAGACAGGTTCTCACTATGTAGTTAAGGCTGGCTTTGAACTCACTATGTAGTCGAGGCTGACCTCAAACTCACAGCAATCCTCCTGCCTGAGCCTCCCAAGTGCTGGAATTACAGGCATGTGCCACCACCCTGGGCTAAGAAATTAACATTCTATGCTCCACAGTTCACATTGGTAGGATAAAAAGATGCAAGTGGCAAATAAAGATTTAAAAGGAAAAAAAAAATTCTATTAAGGGAGACAGCAAAACTAATATAATAGAACAAATAGAAAATAAGTAAATGTTAGTTGGCCATGATAGCACACACCTATAATCCCAGCATTCTGGAAGGCTGATTTTAAAGGATCACAAGTTCAAGCCCAGCCTGGGCAATTTAGCAACTCAGCAAGACCCTGTCTCAAAATTTTTTTAAAAAATTTAAAGGAGCTGGAGATGTAGCTCAGTGTGAAGGTCAAGAGTTCAATCCCTAATACCACAATATTAACTGAACAAATGTTAAAAAGTAATAGCTGCCTCGCAAGCACAAGGTCCTGAGTTCAATCCCCCCACACACACACACACCAAAAAAAAAGTAACAAATAGGACATGTATAATTGGAGAAATAAGGGAAGGCTTCCTAGAAGAAAAAACATCTGAGTTTAACAGAGGTGAAAAGACATGAAGGATAAATAAGAGTGGAAATGGGGAAAGGTAATTTTTGGAAGAAAAAAATAGCACATACAAAGTCTTTGTGATTAAAAAAAAAAAAGTAGATTTTCAGGCAATTACCACCAATTTGGATTGTGGGATGGAAGTGTTTAGAGGTAGGTTGGCTGGGAATGGGCAGAGCAGAACTTATGCTAGGTGAAAAGGGAGCTTCTGAAGGGTCTTAAGCAGGAAAAAGATATGATCAGAATTCTGTTTTACAGGGACTATTTTTCAGATAACACAGAAAATGTATTTAAATTGAATGTGATTATTAAAGTATTGACAATAAGAAAATCAGGTGACAGTGGCAGAAATGGAGAAAAGGTAAAAGATGGGACAGAAACTAAGGAAATAAAATAGACAGGACTTGTATAAAATATAGTAGTGCCTCTAGTTAAGAGTGCCCTACTTTCCATAGGCTGCCTATTTCCCACTCCCAGCCTAAGCGCTGTGAGAGAAACACACTGTAACCAGGGCTGAGCCTCTGTGTGTGACAACCCGGGCCTAGCATCTCCCTGACCAGCATTGGCTGGAGGATGAGGTCATGTCTCAGAATCAGTGAGACCCCATTTCCCAGACTTTGGTTGGAAAGACAATACTCATAGAGTTGTTGAAAGGATAAGATAAAAACCTGAAGTTTGAAACCAGCCATCTAATATCCATGTGGACGAAACCTGCCAGAAAATAGTCTCAACCAGAATAAGCTTGAGAGCTGGAGAGAGTAGTTATGTCAATGATACAGACTGGATCCCCCATGTACTGTTGTGCCTGGAAATGGCTAGGCCTATTTTTTTTTTTTTTTTTGCTTATGGGTTAATGAATTCCCTTTTTTCTTAAAAATATATATATGGTAGTAGTATAGTATAATAGAGGATTTAAGCATGTAAGCCATGTATTAAAGCCACCTGGGTTTAAACCCAACTTCATAGCTGCATAACCTTCATCAAGTTACACAGTTTTCCTCAACCATAAAATTAAAACGTTATGACTAAAAGCTACCTCTTGGACTATTGGGAGAATTTAATAAAATGTTATATGTGCAAACAGCAAGTGTTCAATAACAGTTAGCCATTGTTACTATTTAGGGGTTGGTGGAGGAGAGAACTGAAATTGACCCTTGCGTTAGTCACTTACACAACTAGGTAAGATGGATCCAAAATGAAATAACAGAAAGTGCAGTAAGTTTGGAAAAAAAGACAGTGTGTTCAGTTTAGGTAAATGGGGTCATTTGTAGGACATCCAGGTGGAGAGGTCCAAATGGCAGCTGGAAATACTTGCCTGGAGCTCAAGGGCTTGCTCAGGGTTAGAGATAAAGACTTGGGAGTCTAAATAAGTCTCGAATGGCAGGAAGAGTTGTTTTTTGTTTATTACAGTATGTTCAAGTACTTTTTTTAAATTTTATCAGGGTGTGATGGCACATTCCTATAATCCCAACACTTGTTAGGCTGAGGCTAGAAGATTGCTGTGAGTTCAAGTCCAGTTTGGGCTACATCGTGAGTTCGAGTCCAGTCTGAACTACACAGTGAGACCCTTCTCAAAAAACCAAAACAAAATTTAAATGTTATTTACTGAAACTTTTGACTCAAAAAATTTTTCCAATAATTTATCCTGAGGAAATACTCAGCTAATCTCATAAAGACACTAGTAAAGGGATCTTATTTTTTTAAAGTAATTATTCATTTCATGCAATATTTTCACAGCCATTTTCTTCTAATTTGAGAATTTGTTTGTAGTTTTGCTTTTGTTTTCTGTTTTGAAACAGGGTCTCACTATGTTGCCAGGCTGGTCTTGAACTCCTGGACTAAATCAATCCTCCCACCCCCAACCTCCCTAGGAGCTGGGCCTTCAAGCACATGCCACCATGCCAGGCTTGTGAATCTATTTGATAAGTCCTCTAAAGGGGTAGTATAGAGCTGGGGGTGTAGCTCAGTGGTAGAGTGCTTGCCAACATGCGTAAGATCCTGGGTTTGATCCTCAGCACTGTAATAATTGAGTAGTAGATTTTTTATTTTAGAGGACGTTGTATCTCAGTCACTTCTACTATCAAACTCAGTCTCTTGTATAAGTGGTCAAATTCAGGATTCTCCTATACAGTATATCCATTTAAAGTAGTGGTCTGGGAGGGGCTGGGTATGTAGCTCAATGGCGCCACACCTGCCTGGCAAGTGCAAAGTCCTGAGTTCAATCCTTGGTACCAAATAAATAAATAATAAATAAAATAATGATCTGGGCTAGAGGTGTAACTCAGTGATTGTGCCTGTGCTTAGCATGTGCTGGGTTCAATGTCCATCACCAAAAAAATAAAATAATGTTTTATGCTTGTTAATATGGAATGATACCCATGAAAAGGTGCCAAAGATGGTTAAAAAATACTGTAGTATGATACCATTTGTATTAATGTATATAGCATATACAACCCAGGGGCCTGGGGCATGTAAGGCAAGCACTCTACCACTGAGCTACATCCCTAAACTATATAATAATTTTTAAAGTTTGGAAGGATATACACCCAAATGTTTGAAGTGATTACCTCTGAGGGGTTTCAGTTAGATTTTGTTTTTATTTATAATTCTCTAGAGGATCTGATTGTGTGACTGTGTGTGTGATCAAGGATCAAAACTAGAGTCATATTCTTTTTTTAATCAGAAAAAATAAAACTACTTCCTTCTGAGAAAAATATAAAAGGGCTGGGCCGCTGGGCCAGGGATTTAGCTCAGTGCTTCCACCGCGTGCCTGGCAAGCTCCAGGACCTGAGTTCAATCCCCGGTACCAAAATAAATTAATTAATTAAATTAAATAAAAGGGCAGGCACAGGAAGATAAGCTTGTGAAGGAGAACTGGAAGCAGTAGAAACAGAACCAAAGCCAATAGTTATCTGGAAGCAAGGGATGGAAGTTTCCAGAAGAAGCAAGTAGGTGGTTGACAGTGTTTACTATAGTAGAAAGGTCAAATAGGATAATCCCTGAGAAATGTCTACTGGGTGTGACAATTACCTAAATGAGAGCAGCTTCAGTACAGTACTGAGAGTAGAAGCTAAATA